AAACACTACCCACTACCCCCACCTAACACACAGACCATCAACCCAAACAAAACCCACTACCCTGACCTAACACACAGACCATCAACCCAAACACCACCCACTACCCTCATCTAACACACAGACCATCAACCTAACACACAGACCATCAACCCAAACAAAACCCACTACCCTGACCTAACACACAGACCATCAACCCAAAACACCACCCACTACCCTCATCTAACACACAGACCATCAACCCAAACACTACCCCCACCTAACCCACAGACCATCAACCCAAACACCACCCACTACCCCCACCTAACACACAGACCATCAACCGAAACACCACCCACTACCCCCACCTAACACACAGACCATCAACCAAAACACCACCCACTACCCTCACCTAACACACAGACCATCAACCCAAACACTACCCCCACCTAACACACAGTCCATCAACCCAAACACCACCTACTACCCTCACCTAACACACAGACCATCAAACCAAACACCACCCACTACCCCCACCTAACACACAGACCACCAAACCAAACACCCCCCCCCCCCACCTATCACACACACCTTTTTTACACCATTTTTCTACTCTGCATTTAAATCTTGCAGTTTCTCAAACAGTCCCCACAACACAAATGGAATATTGGCTGTTACCATGGAAACTGTTCTCACACACGATAACAGAATAAAAGTTCACATGAGAACATTTACTCGATTAGAGTTCAGATATAACCTCAAGGTAGTTTTTTTTAGATAACAGAGTCAATCACAATGTTCATTACCTTGGGGACAGTCTTGAACTTAAGATTTGGATATATAAATACCCCATTAAATGGTGATTGGTTTCATTGCCATATACTCAATGTAATCAGACACGAAAGCCATTTGTATTACAGGCTTTCATGGTCATGTTTATCTAATGTGTCAGGATAAATCATCGTTTGTTTAGAACTCAGATTGCCATGGAAACCATATGAGCAATATTATCTTCTTTCTCAGTTAGGATTACTATTAGTTATTACTCTGAGATAGAAATCAGTTTTAAATATAAGTCCACACTCTATCAGTACAAATTTCTATTGCAAGAAAGCTTTTGTGTTAAGGGTTCATATTCATCACCCACATAATGAACAAAACAAAACAGTATATTTGGATCACATTTCCTCCCCTCTCACATTTCCCCAATTATTAAAAATTATTTTTAGTTTAATTGAAATACTTCCATGACACGTTATTTCCAATGGTTAGTTTTTAAAAATATTTACTGCATAAATAAATGTATAATTGCCACAATTTCTATTCAAGTAAAGATAGCTATGATCAGATGCCATGTACACATCAGTATGAAGATTTATCTATAATCTCTTATGGCTGTTTCAATATAACCAGCTACCTACCAGTATACTTGGTATCGAT